CGCGCTTGCTAGCAATTTATAGATACTGTTTCTTGCTGACAAGTTGAATATAACAAAATACTTCTCTCTTTACGATAACTTGTGGCAGATGTTGAATATTTTTAACGAGAGCGAAAGTTTAGGTAATTGACCATAACAACACATGTGAGGTTTTCATTTTCGACTCGTTTCCGCTGAGTTTGGTGAAGGATGGCTGATCTGCATGTCAACAGCAAAAAAAGTTTTACTCGGTTAAGGGAAAAACGTCCTCTTGACCTGGCAGAGCTGCCTATTTTCAGATAACTTTATCCTTGATCGCAGGATCCTAATTCAGCATCTCAACTTGGATGTCTTGTTTGTTCGTCATTCTGAAAGACGTAAATACATGACGATGTTAGATGTTGTGTTGAGAATATATTAAATGAAAGTCAAGAGAAAATGGCGCCAGAGAAATGTTTAGGATAAGGAAAAAAATAAATAAAATTTTCGCCAATTTTAACACAGGATACACTAGACAATTTATAGAATATGCAGTCACAGCGAAATTTTATCTTGAGTGATTTACATTTTGTTGTATCGTTTACTCGAAAATATTTCTCTTGCTTCGTTCATACCTTTTTGCATATATTATTGTATATCGTTGTGTATGAGTGAGCTACTACTAAGAGAGACACGATCAAATGAAAAATACAAATCGAGTACAAAGTCAAACGGTACCTGAAGAATCTTCTTCGTCGTCGTTTACTTCTTCGAAGGAAAACTTCGGTTCGCGGTCCGCATCTTTCTTCGGCACGTGTTCTTCTGAGGAGAAGGATAAATTCGATTTAGTACATGACCACAAGACAAAACGCGAGAAGAAACTTTAAAGTCAACAGGCCTAAAATCTTACCACTGTTGAACGGCGCGTCGCGGCTTTGGTTTGCCCTTGGTCCGGTTAATAGGCATGCGAATGAAAAGGCTATAGCCTGGTATTTCTCGTCTTCTGGCTTTCCCTCTAACAGCTTCTTAACAATGGGATCCATCACGTTCTGTTTTACGAGCGAGAATGGCGATTCACTGACGGAACCAAAATTTAAACTCTGAGTACCAGGGAAAATTCCCAGACAGATGAAAACTATGACCTAATAGTCACGACTGATCGGTTTGTTTGGCGTTGCGTGGGGCTTTTTGCGGGATTGAAAGTGCTTGACAGGCAAAACGCAAGGGAAAAAGCCCTGCCAATAGACAATAAAACTAGCAGATGGGCACGTCCAATCAGGTTGCTTGACAAAGCATGGGTGGTTTTCCTTTATAAGGGTATTTTTAGCTTAATATAGCATCCAATCACCTTGCGCCAACTAATGAAGCTGGTGAAAACGTGCTCGAAACTGAAATAATCTTAGTAGGAAAACAAACAGGGATAACTCCCTTTTGACACGGAGTGATTAACAAGCACGAAAGCAGGGTTTCCCAAGCTATGAAACTGAAGTTTAAATAAAAAAAATTGGGACAAGCACCTTTTTCAGTTACTCGTAACTTTCTTAGTAAAGTGCGCAACGCTATTCTGGACTCACAACAGGCGCAAAAGGCGATGAAATTTGGTCAAAACATCATTTCGTGATGTTTCGTACAGACAGTGCTTTCACAACATCCTGTTGTGTCGTAAGTCAAAGCTGCCTAAAGCAATGTTTGTCGCTATATTCAATAGACTGACACAGATAGTTTGACAATTTGCCAATACATCTAAGTGCTTGCAAAGCAACGCGCTAAAAATGCTTTGAAAGCAGTTATTAGATCGCGTCGGAAGTATTAGAACGCCTTTGGCGCTTGTTTAAAAACAAAACACGCCACCCCATGCGACCAAAGTTAATCAATATCTCATTGCGGGAGATGGAACGGGCACTTGAAACAGATTGTCAAGGATTAGAACCAACTATAATGTGTTGATGATTGACAGTCGAACAATAGAGTAGCAAGCGTCAAGGAATGCGACAGAAAAGCTTTTCACCTTAATTCTTTGCGCTTCACAAACGCAAAGCAACAACTTTATTCAATGGCGTAGTCAGAAAAGTTGCGCAACCGAGGTCCTTAATATGAGCGTCTTTCGCGCTCTTTCCACCATGGCAAAGAAAGATTCGCCGATTCTCGATAGAACATCGGTGGAACGTTTGATTAGAACCAAAGGGAAAGTCCCTTGGATGTTTTCTCGCGCCATTGCTAACAAAGAAGATTGTTAGATACTATGGCGCGTTTAAACAAAGCACGCAATGATAGATTTTCTCGTGACTTCATCTTACGCAAGGGAAAATGTACGGTAAGCCACGGCGGTCAAGCTTTACGTTGTTTAGCTAAGAAAATAAACGTTTGCGCACGCTGCTAACTTCGTAAATCGTTCCATTTTCTTAGGAATGGCGCAGGCTGTGATGTAATTTTTCCATTTTAAGGTGAGGATCACGTGTACAGAATTTATCTAACGAAAAATAATTGTAAGTTTTAGAACCAATAGTACTTTGCAACGTATCGCCGAAAATTTGCTTTGTTGGCGCGTTTTGCTTTTATAAATAAAGGACATTTTTTCCTAATGCTCTCAATGAGATATAAATCTCTCCACTCTCTCGTAAACCTCTCTAATTAACGAGAACGAAAACGATTTACAATGTCCGGAAAAGGTGGAGCAAAAGGAAACACTAGTAAAGACTCTGTGTATTGTACCTCTGGCCACCGATCCGGGGGAAATTCACGAAGCAGCTCTCACCATCACTCGAGGGCAAACACCGGTAACAGCTACCACCACCATCGATCAGGTGGACACTCAGGCAGAAACCCGACTAGTAATACACCTAATCAAAGTTCACATCGAAGCGGTCCATCAAGCTGCCACTGTCCGACTGACACAAACGCCCAGACTTCGCGCGTATCGGAAAGTAAAGAAGGATGTAAGCGCAATTACCATTTTGGCTACCCCTAGCTTAAGTTCTGAGGCAACTGACATTTTTTTTTTTTTCTTTCAGGGTGGGGCGAAAACTGCATTCTGCAGTGAAAACAAGATGTAAGCAATTTTTCTTTCCTTTCAAAGTTAACGATGTAATAGCATTAGTAATCTCTTTGCCCTCTTAGACATGCATAACGCGTTTACAGTATAGCGCAACTTCTTAAACGCACTTGAAGCTCAATTTAGCTAATTGTAAAGGCACAAGTTCAGTGTATAAGCTTTCTACCGATTAATAGTATGTATAGAATAAACTAAATTCCCCTTATTTACAGAGGGTTTGCCTTGTTATCGGTCCTGATGCTTAGTAAGCATAATCTTCGATGAGAATTCTATGCCATGCGCGCGGTGCGTCACGTTTGTCATAACAACCCATGTTCGTGTCACCGAGATCATTTGACGTCGAAGGTATAGCAAAGGAAGCGGAAAACACTCTTCTTTTAAAATGCCACCAAAGGGACCCAAGCCTAATCAACCGCCTGATCACGACTACCCAAATCCACAACCACGATATGATGAACGATCCAAGGGTGATTTTTTAATTTCAGTCTGTGTAGAAACTCCATAATTAGAAAATGCTTTGTTGTGAGCCATCTGACAGCTTTTCGCGCTTTCTTTTCAGGATGTTGTACGATATTGTAAAGATCAAAGGTAAGGTGAAGATTCTATTGTTTTATTTTTCTCGCCGCATTAAGTCATTAGAACTTCACTTCGACAGTCAAATCAATGAATAATGTAAAGCCCTGCGCGGGCATCATTGTCTTTGGCTAGCGTGGTAAATGAGACCACGCAGACCTGTATAAAGCAGCTGAGACATCATATGTATAACCAGAGTCGATTCAACAGTCGAAAGTGATAAAGCGTTTTGAAGACATGGACCACAAATCCAAAGCAACACCTCAACAAAGTAAAGAACCCATCACTCCGACGCCAAGGCCAAACCCCAAAGAAGTTCAACCGAAATGTGAGTCCCACTCCTTTGTTTCAAATCAGTGGAGCAACTCTATCATCTTAGCTTGCTTATTTGTGAACCATCTGACATTTTTCTCTTTCCATAATTTCAGCTTGGTCGGACTGCAAAGGAATGGGAGTGAAGCCGAAAGGTATCATTTTTATAATATATCACGTTAATTTATTATGGCGGCACCCTAACAGCCTACAATGCTTCAGAATCGTTTTTATTAGTAATTACATAAAATAAACCTAAAACGCTGTGGCAATAAACATACTAGCAGTACTCTTAAAACTGAAAGGTAGTAATACAATGTTGTTTTGTTTCAAAAGCTTACTTACTAAAGGTATTCGCGAACCAAAATGTGCTTTCGAAGCATCTACATAAAATTACACATAGTTTTGTCGTGGCAACAGAGAGTACTGAAAATCAGTTATATTAAAATTATGAAAGAAAACTTCGGCTGAAGTTGCTTTCCGTATCTTTCGTATGTGCGATGGCGTTTTAAACATGAAATTTAAGCCAAATAGAATGTTTCTACCTCAAGTTTGATGACGTGATTAGAAGGGCTCCTTCTCTCACGAGTAGCTCTGTGTTGAGAATGTTTCCAAAAGTAACGTTTTCCTCGATTCACCAACATACTTTCTTAGAACTAGTTCCTTTGAAAAGTTTTTCTTAGTCTACCAATGTGGTCTGTGACTTTCGGTTGTTATTTTTAACTTGTGTGTGACAACAAAGCAATTTTACTTGCAGGTGGAGCAAAGACAAAGTAGCATTTGATAACTGGGGTGCCCAAGAGCAATCAACTTCAGATGATGGACTATAGCCTATTTGTTTTTTCTATCGTTTTGTTATAGTTATTGTTGTGTTAACTGTATACTTATATTATCTGATGTATGTGGAGTATTATTTGAAGTCCTTTCGTAGTGCGCACCGAAGAGAATCATATGAGACGCTGATACAAAAAATGTGTAAAATAAGCCTTTGAGATTGATGCTAGCTTGTAGAAATTTAGGTTGCTTTTTGCTGTAACACCAATTTCCAAACATAGGAATGTTAGTTTGCACAATTGTAAAGTCTTTGTGATTTATGCAACTATTAAAACTGAAAAATGATATGCGAAGTGTTGTCTACAGACTCTACCACAAGGATATGATATAGGGGAGTTGAAGCATCACGAATACGCAACCGGCAAACTTCAGATTCAAGTTGAGAATTTCTTAAAATAGAAAATGAGCAGATAAAAACAGCTCAAAACAATTTTTATGGATAGAAAATTGCGTGAAATTACTAATTTATGTGTTGAAATAATTAACAGACAACGACAAGTAAAGAGGAAACTTGGCCACGTGGTACAAATACGCGTTTGCCGTTAGACGTAAACATGATGCTTAACCTCTCTATCAGCAAACAAATGGAATAGGGTAAATGCGCGCAAGGTTGTATCTTAGTTTTAAGGAGAAGGAATGATTATCTTCAACGACACAATACTTCCCACTCGACTAGAAATAATGAAAACAAGATATAAAAGAGTGAATATCAACCACGTGAAGAGACTTATAGTCGATGCGAGCTGGCGGTTCAGGCAAAATGAGCGACAGTTTCCTTAGGTTGGAGGTGACTACGCCGCAAGAGTCAAACATTTTTATCCCCTACTCTTCTTCTAGTATTTCTTAAAAAGATAACGTTATACCTAACAAAACCCGCCTTGCTTGACCACCCGCACGATTTAAGTATTTTCGATAAATGTGAGCCCTAATGCGTCTCGGGCACTTTAATGTTCAAAACATAGACGTCTTAAGGGAGGAATATGATGCGCAATTGGCAAATTGCTTCCACCTTCTTAGAATAACATGGCGTATGATCCTGGGCAAAATTGCGGGGTGAAAAATAAATGCTAATACGTCTTGACACAAAGCAGTCATGACCAATGTTGTTAGCAAATTGCGCACATGCTTGTTAAGGTAACGCCGAAAATGCTCTCTATATACATCTTGTCATGTTGTACTAGCCTAAAAATGCTCCATTTCTAAGCAAGATATATATAACATGAACATTTACAGCGTAGAATTCCCTATTTCTCGAAAACGCTTTGCTGGCGT